AGGATATTGATTGACTTTTCGTGACTTTTCGTGTTCCTACAGCCCATTCATCTTTTTTCTTCGTTTTTCTATATTCCTCTGGTCCCTGTGTCAATTGAAAGAAGCTCACTTCCTCCTCAGAATGTTTTTGAAGTTTTTCCTTCATGTGACCTTAGTGTGTTAACTCAGTTTCCCAGTTTTTGTTCTTCTCGATTTCATATGTTACGGGTATGCTCAAGCTATCTTTTGCCTTTCTAGTTGTCCCAGTTGCGTTGGTAGTGTATGGTTATGCGAAGTAGGAGCAGTAGGACTTGGAAGAGTGAAAATAAGAAATTGTTTATTGATTCTACATTTCCCCCCAAGCGTCTTCATCACCAATACTGTTCCTTTCACGACACAATAGTTTCCCATCATCAATCTGTCCTTTATCTCCAACCGCTTATGATGTCCATCCAAGTATTCCATTTGTTGTGTTGCTTGATCGCAGTAGCTTGTTTCTTCATTTGTATCGAAGAGGGTTTGAAAGAAAGCGCGAAAATGTTAAGGGTCAGGTCTAGAAGTTACCATCAGATCAGTCATTTGAACTCTTTAACGTCTCAATTTGCTTTTCCCACTCAATTGATTTTTTCCGATTGAATAGTGTTCTTTCTTCAATTCAATTTTACGAACTTCGTTGCCCCATTCTTTCTTGATTACCCTTGTTTCTAAACTGCTAATGACTTGCTCACGAACTTCTCTTAAGGTCTGCCATGTTCCATTCCGAGTCCGATTTTGAATTTGGGTGATAGTTCGTTTCATCTTGACATGTTACTCTTCATCCTCACTGTATCTTAATTATTCAATGAACAGTTCTTGCTGTTAGTTCCCAATACTTGTTCTATTTGGTTTGAAAATTGAATCTAGTCAGCTCGCTGGTGAACTCGCATATTGGAAAGTTTCCATTATATCGATAAGTATGAAAATTACCCTACTGGTCATGTTTCTTGAAGTATAAGATCGTCTTGTTTGTATTTTTCGTTCTCTCTTGATGACCCTCGTTTCTAAGCTGTGAATGATCTGGTTATGTACTTCTCTTGAGGGTTGCAATGTTCCGTTTCGAGCTGTTCTTATCCGCCCGACAGTTTCGGATGAGTTTTCAATGGTTGGTTTACATAATTTATAACTTGAAATGAAAAGTTTATTCAAGACAGTAAAAGACAACAACTGTGGCCATGGACGGAGGATTCTGGCCCCCTTGATGAACTCGGAGGCCACAGAGGGCCAAGTTTGTCGGGGGAAGGGGAGGGGAAGGTGTAACAACTTCTTCTCCCATAGCATTATGGGGGGGGATTCGCTGATCCCCCCTGGAGAGGGGGGAGAACTCTCGATCTCTCTCATAGAGAGGGAAAGAGGTGTTCTTCTTCCTCTCAAATGGGGAAAAGGGAATACTCAAACGTGACAGGCGGGCATCGCCATTTTTTCTGGAATCTGAAACAAAGTAATACTCTTCCTTTATCTTCCCCGAAGGAGAGCTTTTCTCGCGGGGACCCCGAAAATGACGATTTTTGCCGACATCGTTAAAAAACGACGTCGACAAAAAACGCCATTTTCGGGGTCC